AGGCGTAAAAACAACGAGGGAGACTTTTTCTCGGCCCCTCGGCCTGAACACGAAAGCTTGCACCACACACCGAAGCCGGCTGGCCTGTGGCCGAAAAGGCCACAGGCCAGCCGCCCACACCCCTCCTCCTGGCCGAAGTGGCTGCACACACCACACCCCTCCTCCTCCTCCTCCTCCGCCCCCGCCTCCTCCTCCTCCTCCTCCTCCTCCTCCTCCTCCTCCTCCTCCTCCTCCTCCCCTCCTCCTCCTCACTCCTCCTCCTCCTCCTCCTCCTCCTCCTCCTCCTCCTCCTCCTCCTCCTCCTCCCTCCTCCTCCTCCTCCCCTCCTCCTCCTCCTCTCCTCCTCCTCCTCCTCCTCCTCCTCCTCCTCCTCCTCCTCCTCCTCCTCCTCCTCCTCGTCTCCTCCTCCTCCTCCTCCTCCTCCTCCTCCCCCTCCTCCTCCTCCTCCTCCTGCATGGGAGGGCCAGCAGGGCCCGCCCCCGAGCGGACCGGGGCCGGGCCGGGGGACCGCCGTGGCCCCGGCTGGCCCGCCTCCGAGCTTGAGCCCGCGGACGACGGGCAGGGCCTCGTGGTCCGTCCGGTCGTCGCTGGGCCCCGCGGTCGGCGGGCCACCGCCAGAGGGCCGAGCCCGGGGGCGCCCCCGCGGCGCCGCGGGCGGCGAGCGGGGGCGCCGGTCTCTCCGCCGACGTGTAGGGGAGGAACAGAACCGCGTAAGCAGACATCTTTCGGAGCTCCGCGCGGATTCCCAGGATCGGCGCTGGAACCCACTCTCCCTGGAACGGGAAGCCCGCCAGGGAGGCGAGCGGGGGCGCTGGTCTCTCCGCCGACATGTACAGTCGGGGCGTCGAGCGAAGGAACCCTAAATGAGGAACGAGGCCCCTTGTTTGCCCTGGGCCAAGCTTCGACTTCCCCGTCGACAACACCAGGAACACCCGAGGCGAGCTGTGAAGCACTGCAGGAACACGGAGCCCCTCCCCAACGAAAAGGGCTCCTTCTTCAGCGACCCGACGTGCAGGGGAGGCACGGAGCCGCGCAGGCAGACAACGCTCGGAGCTCCGCGCGGAGTTCCCGGGATCGGCGCTGGAACCCCCTCTCCCCGGAGCAGGAAGCCCGCCAGAGGGGCGGGCCCTGTGCCGATCCAATCAAGTCCGCGTGGAGATCTGGACGTGGATGCTTTGCTCATCGTCGAGTTGTGCTTGTGTTCGTCGCCTTCGGCCCTTCGTCGTTGTTTGCCTCCAGGGGCGCCGCTTTCGGGCCCCGGGGCCGTCAGATAAACGGACCCAGGATGAACCCCCCCCCGGGAAGTCCCCCGCACGACTTGACACGACTTGCAACAGTTGCATGAATTTTCCAGGAGGATGTAGTCCCTTGGCCGGACGGCACCAAGGCGACGCAGGCAGTGGATGACGCTTTCTACCGCTGGGCACGTACGAAGAACGGACTCCGCCTGCAGGAGAAGTACCCCGTCGGCCTCGTCACCACTCTGGGCGAAGCTGCTCTCATTTTGGCTTTGTGGGAAGTGGCACTGATATAATCACACCGGTGACCTGCGGTGGCACGGCCACCTCGAAGACCGTTGTCGTTGATATTCTAGTACGCAGCCCCTCGAATTCAGTTCGGGTGGCGTAGCGCCAATGTTTCACGAGCGGGCCACTAACAAGTACTTGCAACGAACAGACATGCTGATTACAGCCCACCTCGTAAGCACTCGCTAAATGACCTTGAATGGAGGTCCGATGTCCGAGGACTTTTTAATGGGGCCGGAATAGATGCGGCCGGGGGTTTGCAGAGCATCGCTGATGCATCGCCGATACACGTGCGACGTCGGGTTAAAATATGGACCAGGATGGCTCTGCAACGCCGATGCATCGGCGATGCGGCGCGATCCTCCGACCCCATCCACTCGGACCCCATCTAGGCGGCCTGGGAGGGCCCAGGGCACACCGGGCCAAGCTGGGCAGACCCAGCCTAAGCAAGCCCCAATCCCCAAACAAGCAAGACAACATTCAGAGGAAAGGGGCTTCGAGGACCGAAAGGGGGTCAAGGGTCAAGGCGTTTGAGATCATCTGAGATCTCTTTTCCTTTTCTGCTTGGTCTGTGGGGGGGACCTGTGTAAACCTGTGTACACCGACGGGGCTCTCGCGGACCCCAGGAAGGAGGGTTCAGGATCAGCCGGACGTTGATTGATTTTGGTGCTGGGGCTGACGTGGGGCAACGTGCTCACCACAGGGGGGTCCCAGGGGCTGGCCCTGGCCCCGTCGCCCCCCCCCCCACCCCCATGGGGCCGTCCCCGGACCACCCCCCCATGCACTTCGGGACCCCGCCAGGCCCCCCCAGAGACCCCAACAAGGCCCTCCAAGACACCATCAGCTCCCACCTCCGCCCCCCAGGCAGGTGACTCCACACAAGCTCCAAGGATGGACCTGTCTGGGACCCGGGAGTGGAACTGTCATACTGCAGGTCCGTGGCGTGTCGACCCCGGCGTTGGTTCCTGACACCGCGCTGGATCGTTCAACCTTGAACGATCGGCCGTCTCCGCAACGTCCGATCGTTCAACATCGACCGATTCTGGGCCGCCGTCACCGTTCAACGTTGAACGTCGGCGGCGGGGTCGCCGCGGGTCGACACGACGCGAACCTGCCGTAGGGACACGTCACGCAGAAGACCTGTCAGGGACTCGCCGAGGGCCCGTCGGAGGCCCCTGGAGGCAGAGGGTGGGCGCAGGGGCACGGGGGGCCTCGTGCTTCTTTGACCCCCAGGGGGCGGAGAGCCAAACAGGTGCAGCCCTAACCCCGATTCAAAATCCTCTCTGTCGACACTTTGCCAATCCCAATTCACGCTAGACCTCTGCCAACCATCGCCGTGCCTGCCTCCACCTCATGCCGCCCCTGTGCCGACCATCCGCCAAGGATCTGCCAGCCCTCTTTCTGCCAACCCTCTGCCAACTCTCTGCCGGGTCTCTGACAGGGTCCGATACGCCTTTCCAGGGGGCCCCAGCTGCTTGATTGGTACATCCCTTACTGGGCACCCATACGTGGGCCCCGAATCTCCCGAACCATTCACCGCTTTCTCATCCCGCGTCGTTGTCTGACACTCCCGAACCCGTAACTGGACTCCACCAGCCCAGCCCATTAAACATATCTATGCTATCATTTTGGGTTCAGGACGCTGGAGGTCTGGATACATCGCTCGAACATCTGCCCCCTTGTCCTGTCGTGATGTGCGCTCTTGCTAAAATTCCGAGGCGCATCTAGCCATAACGACGAGGGCTTCCGAGGAGGGCAGAAGAGAACCCGAGGACGTCCAAACACCTCTAGCGCCGAACCTCGATCCTCGAAGCTCGATCCTCGAGTCAGGCTGCGCTCCCAGACATCTCGAGTGGTGGATCGACTGCAGAATTGATATACCCCAGAAGTGATGTCTTCGTCGAGTTCACCAGGAAATCTCATAGTGTTCGTAGACCTGCGGAACATTCTATGTATCGTTCGTCTGTTCGACGAGCGTATGAAGTTTGGGAAACATGACTTCTCTAGTCGATCTCATACTCGAACATCTAGCGGTGCGTTTCCTTGGACAGGTTGTCTGTCAAGATTGTGCATACATAGATGTAAAATCTAACGGCTGGTGAAAGAGGGCCAGGGCACCCGAGATCAGTGCCTCATCGTTGCCGCTGTCGCTACCCCCGATCAGGGCCCGCCACCCCCATCCCCGATCCCTATCCCTGAAACTCATACCTACCCCTATCCCTATCACTGGTATTCATCCCTATCCCTATCCCTATCCCCAAGCATCCCTGTCCCACAACCCCCTGCCCCCATCCCGGATCCCTACCATTAGACCTAATTCCATCGGATCCCCATCTCAGCGGCGAGCAAGGGGGGAACATGAGAAGGAGAAGGCCTTCTCAGACGGCGGCGGGACTCCTCGGCAACCCTCGCGCCTTCTGAGAAGCTGGTTCTGTCCTCCGGGAAGGCTTAATCAACTTCTCAAACGGCCGGGTGCCTTCCGAGCCTTCTGAGAAAGCCCACCCCTTCTCGTTTCCCTCTGGGCTCGCCGCAGACTGTCCCAATCTCAATCCATACTATCCCTGTCCCACTCCCCTTCCCTGTCCCTGCCCCTATCCTGGATCCTTACCGTTAGACCTAATCCCATCTGATCCCCATCCCCATCCCTATCCCCATCCATTCATCGTGGCCCCCCAGCGTAGTTCTTAGAAGGAGGAACAACTGCATAAAAAAAAAACGAACTCTCGGCGCTCCGCGCGGATTTCTTGGATCTGCGGAGCGTGCCAGTGGGTCCCAGCGCGAATCCAGGAAGTCCGCGCGGAGCGCCAAAAGTTGATGCTTATGCAATTTGTTTCTAAGGGAAGTGGGGTGGGACAGGGACAGGGACAGGGATTGGGATGGTGTCCTTTCTGCTTCGAGCTGTGCAACGCTGTTCGGGGTGCCGTAGGCTGACACAGGCAACGTGCCTTCCACATCCGCGGCCCCAGGGCTGCCGACCTCGCTTCCCTCGGGGGCAGCCTCGGAGGAGGCGGAGGAGGAGGCGGAGGAGGAGGCGGAGGCGGAGGAGGAGGAGGCGGAGGAGGAAGAAAAGGCAGAGGAGAAGGAGGCGGAGGAAAAGGAGGGGGAGGAGGAGGAGGCAGAGAAGCAGGAAGAGACGGAGAAGGAGGAGGAGGCGGCGGAGGAAGAGGAGAAGGAGGCGGAGAATGAACGCCGCGATCAGGGATTAGGGGAAAACGCCAGGATCCGAAAAATCAGGGAGAGACGACGATCAGGAAAACGCCGTGATCAGGGATCAGGGATCAAGGATCAGGGGAAAACGCCACGACGACGACGATCAAGAAGACGCCGCGATCAGGGATCAGGGATCAGGGAAAAATGCCAGGATCGGAAAAGTCCATCCAACCTGGGCTCATGTTCGTTCCCTGCCGCACGCCCGAGATCTGGTGTGAGCGTCTCGGGCCGCCGTGGGGAAACCTTCAGGGCCTCTTGGGCCGTCCCCAAGGCCGAAGCTGGAAAGCACGAGCGCCCCCAAACTTATGTCGGGCGTGTCCCCCTACAGGGGGAGCTTCGACGAAAAATAAAAAAATACCCCAAACATATTCCAAAAAGGTCAAAACATACTAAAGGAAATAGTCCCCAGGCTATTTTTGGATAATGTTTTGACTATCTTTGGGTTTTTTCCCCCCTAATTTTTCGTCGAAGATCCCCCTGTAGGGGGACACGCCCGACTTAACCCTAAACCCGTCCAAAATATATGACCATCCATGACGCCGGGCCCTTCGTACGAGGACGGCGCTCCTGCACAGTACCAGGCTTGGACTCCCTTCGGGCCTCACCCCAGCGCGGTGCGGTGACCATCGCTGTTCGGCTCCGGGGGCGGAACAGACACGATGCACCGCAGAATTCCTGGGTCGAAGATCGACGACGCCTCGGGGGACGCCAATACGGTACGGTTAGGTCGGGGCTGTCCCCCTACAGGGGGATCCTGGTCGAAAATTCGAGAAAAATACTAAAAGAATACTCCCAGCATGCTCAAAAATACTCAAACCATCGCCCCCAGACTATTTTTTTCTATGTTTTGACTGTTTTTGAATCTCCCTCCTGTAGAGGGACGGGCCGACTTCACGGCACGGTGCACACGGGTCCTCCGCGGACTTCGAGCCCTCCTGCAGGGGCCATGCCGGGCCGTCGCCGTGATCGCCCTCGACGCGGCGGCCTGCCGACCTCGGGCGGCTCGTCATGGGGTCGGCGTCCAGCGTGTCCTCCGGGCCGGGCGAAAGGGGGGGATATTCGGCGACTCCGAAGGGTGTGGTTTGCAAAGGGTGTGGTTTGCAAAGGGCACCCAGGGAAGCACCCTGGGGGGCGGGCGGGGACCTCGATAGTGTTTTCCGCTGTGCTCCGAGGCGGCCCGACGAGGACAGTGTCGTGCCCCCAATGCCCAAGCGGCGCCGATCGCAAACCACACCCAGGCGTAACCACACCCCTTGTTGTCGCCGAGATATAGCAGAGCGAGGGGCTGAGAATCAGCTCACGTAGCTGATTTTCCTGGCGCCTCCGCCAGGAGGCGCCCCTTCAGGGGTCTTCTGACCCGGGTCAATCCAGACCCGGGTCAGCAGGAAGCCCAAAACTGCAATGCAGGAGAAAAAAAACTGCAACGCAGGTCTGCGTAAACCAGGGT